TAAGTATCACGAATAAAATAATAGCCAAACAGCATTACTGGCCCATGAGTAAGACTGATTTGTAAATGATACAATAAACCCCCTAGAAATAAGCAAATACTGAGTCAGCTAAGCAACGCTCCTGTCAACAATTCAAGAAGAGATTAAACAACACCCACTAAAGAATCTTAAAATCGATAGAAAACAGGCAAGCACACATTTCAAAAGTTTTGCTCATTACATATTATTTGACTGTTTCCATAAAATCCTGGAATATGTACTGAGTTAGTGGCAGGAAAATATTGTAAAAGGACAAGCAGAATGATCCACACAATTATGATGCAGTTACTCTGATATCAAGTTTGAGAGACCACAAAAGTTAAGTTAAATTCTATTAACAGCCCTCCCCTCGCCACAAGAAAAACATTTAGCATCACTAAAAATACTGCAAGTACAACTAAAAAGGATAAAATTACTTAATGGATACAATATATTCTGACTTGGCATGACATGGTATTGCCTCAACAGCACTATAAATCAGTAAGGTACACATGACATGGTCAAGGACTGCCTGCCTACCTGTTATCAGCTAAAAGCAAACTGCAAAGACAAATTCCAGAACACAACACTTCAATGCTTTTATTATCCTTGATCTAGAAAGACACTCAGTCTATATCAAGCTAAACCTACCATTTGCCACTTCTCCATTATTACAGAAAAAAATTATGCACTTGAGATGACCTGACCTTGACAAACTGTTACTCACTACTTTATCTTCAAAGTGAGACTAGTTATGTTTTCACACGTTTTTCTGTGAACTCAAAATAAGCAGATTTACAGCTAATTTCAACCAATTAGCCTATAAAAATCCCACAAAAACTGTAACAAGTTAATTGATGCACAAGTGGATTCTCACCCAGGAAATATTCACTAAAAAGCTTTAATCTCTGCTCTTGCTATTATTTCAAAAGGATGAGAACATAAAACACTGAAATGAGACAAGTGTCACAGTAGAAACAGCGAAGTGAAATATTTCCACATCTGATCCATATGAAACATCTGATCACTCAAATCAAGTACTTACTCTCAGTTTTATAAGCAGCATCTCTATCTTCTTTTAATACCTGTCTCTGTTTTTCTGTATGGAAACCCCTGAATTCTCACCTCATCTCCATAGTGTACCAGCACAGAGAGAAAACATTTATTCCAGAACACTTCATTGCTAGGAGGAAGCAACAGTTAAAACTATGTATGTCACACATGAATGTAAAAAAAAATATATATTTTTTTCCTAATTCACTTAGAATGAGTCCTACTTGTCAGCTCAAAGAAGAAAATACCAACACAGCCTAAATAACAGGGAAGACAAACACAAAACAATTAAATATGAATGTTATGGGTCCCATCCCAGCTAGACAAAGCCTTGTTTTCACTTATCAATTAGCAGAGAAACAACCATCTCTGCAAGTTTTCAAGAGAGAGATGACAAAAGACAAAATCTTGGCTTCCTTCCTAGAGACAAAAAGTTAAAAAAATTACACATCGTGGCAAACTAGATTAAAATGAACCATTTCTACACAACTATAAGAACAGAAGACAGAATTTCTCACAGATCATTTAACATCACATTAAAAAATTACAAGTGTTACACTAGGTTGTCACAGTTATCCCCAGCTGGCAACTCAACCCCACACAGCCACTTGCTCACTCTCTCCAGGTGGGATGGAGGAGAAGCAGAAGGGTAAAAGTGAGAAAACTCGTAGGTTGAGATAAAGACAGTTTTATAAGGAAAGCAAAAGCCACATGCACAAGCAGAGCAAAACAAGGAATTAATTCACCACTTGCATGGACAGGCAGGTGCTCAGCCATCTCCAGGAAAGCCAGACAGTGACTCGGGCAGACAAACGCCATCACTCCAATGTCCCCCCTTCCGCCTTCTTCCTGAAGCTTTATATACCAGGCATGACGACACTTAGTCTGGGATATGCCTTTGGTCAGCTGGAGTCAGCTGTCCCAGCTGTGTCCCCTCCCAACTCCCTGTGCACCCCCAGCCCACTCGCTGGTGACTGAGGTGAGAGGCAGAAAAGGCCTTGGCTCTATGTAAGCAAAGCTCAGCAACAACAAAAACATCCCTGTGTTATCAACAGTTTCCAGCACAAATCCAAAACACAGCCTCATACCAGCTACTGTGAAGATAATTAACTATCCCAGCCAAAACCAGCACATAGGTTTCCTAGGATTTGGTTTTGGGGTGTTGATTTTTTTCCTTGTTGAAAGAAAAGAAATTTAAGAAAACTAAATCATCCATCAAAGACAAAGCTGATGAAAACTTCTGATAATTCAGAAAGTAAACCAATAAAGCAAGAAACAGTAGCTTAGATGAAGCAGTAAAGCTAGAAAGAATTTCTCCTATACAGCTGATGTTAAATAGCTGCTAATTATGTATGTTCTGCAAATGAAGATTAATTTAAATTTCACACTTGGAAAAGTTGGGTGTTAGAAGTACAACTGAGCATTGTCAACTACTGCTTAAAGTTACTTACCAAATATCTCACTAGTTTCAAGTATGCAGCAGATAATTAAAGTTTGCATTCAAAACATTAAGGTTCTATGCATTAGTTACATTTAAAAAAAACCGACCTGACACTATTATTTCATGAAATATGATGTACTAGCAATTTACTGAAAACATAAAACAACAGGAAACCTTCATTCTTGGTACATTATCATCATCAACAGGTGTATTGCATAAAAAGTACAGCAGACAGTAAAGCTTTTTAGATCCCTGTCTTAACAGAGCGACAAGTTTTTACATTTTGATAAAGTAATTAATTTTCCTTGTCTTTGAGGGAGTGTGAGAAATTCAATACTTGTAATGTGTATTTTGCATAGTCTTTTATTATTTTTACATGTAAGCATTGTAGGATAAAATGAACTTCTGAGATGTGTATGTCTGTGACTGTCATATCCTCATAAAATGCTAATATCCCATGAAACACCAATGAGTTACACTGGCAGAAATCCCACTGTGCTTTCACCCACATGTTAGTGCACTTACCTTGGAATGCAGCTGTAGAGATGAAGCAGTTTACACAAAATGTTTGATACAGAGCCAAATTGCAAAGCTTCCCTTCCTTGTTCTGTGTCCTGCACACTCTGCAGGCCTATTAGTGACCAGGATGCTTTATATATCCACAACAATCCACAGCCTCCAATAATAAAAGGGTAATGAGAAAAGCAGCACCAATGTAAAATAGTATGAATTTATATCTATTAAATAATTAAATATTGCTAGTCTTCTAAAATTCTTTAAACATCTGAAGACAAAGTGCCAAAAGATATCGTAACATCAACTGTTAATTATCAGCTCTTTTTTTTGCTGTATCTTAGAACTGTCAGAATATTACGTAAAGCCTCAATAAATTTTATCATGTTATGGCTTACAGTAAAGTAAGAGTAAATAAAACAAGTCTAAAACCTTTTTATCTCCCTCCAACTTGAAATATGCTTGCATGTTTAAATATAAAAACTTTGGGATAAATCAAGCATTACTGACCATTTGCAATTATTTCCATGCTTCTTTTGAGACACAGAAAAAGAGAACCATGAAAACTAAAACTGAGTAGGATAATTGACATAAATAACAAGGAAGACAAAAAATATAGTTGGAGAGCCTCTTTTTTATAATTACACACACATAAGTCAGTAGATTAACAATGAATGCACTATTGAAACTTTTAAAATTATTTTTCAAATAATTGAATTTAAATTTGTACAATAGGTGTAGAAAATCACAGAAAGATACTTCATTTTACACCTGCATTTTCAGCTTTCATGGCATTCTGACTTTAATGCTGAAGTAATTTTTAGGGCCTGTTCAAAAATTGTCTACAAGTCAAAAAAATTATGCTGGCTTTGGAATCTTCAAAATTCTGATGACTACACTACCAACTTAGTAATAGATAACATCAAAATTCTTTTAGTTATGTGCTCACATTCTTGACAAAATTTCCTATTCAGTGTATAAGGAAATAAAACACAGACCTCAAGACAGGTTATTTCAGCTAGCAGGTTAGCAATGATGCTCATGTGTATAAAATCCCACAAGCTTGAAAATAAAACAAACTGTTGCATTGAACTACTACAACAACACTGAAGACAAAAATATTTTATTAATACAGCAAGCTGTTAGAAAACAAGCAAAGTGAACGCTTACAAATTCATTGTTTTTGAGAGAGAAAGGGCAGTAAATTAGTCAGTCTCCATGCTGGTTCATTCTTTGTCATGTGCTAAACAGATTACATTGGCTGTGCCAAAATCAGGGATGCAAGATGGTTTTACAGGCATATATCCACTGTTTCTATTGAATGGATGCATCCCAGCTGTGGGCTGGGACTCCACAGCCTGATCTTCCTTTGTATTGCAAATGAAAGAAACTGACTTAGAAAGAGTGAAATTTAGCTGTGAAATTTGGGGGGTTTAGTGATAAAATTCAGATTCTTTTAGTCAGCACAAAAAAAAGGTGGTGGTGTGCAACCACCATCATGGTTTATATGCTGTCAATGAGAACCAATGAAAAAATAATTCAGGCTGCGCAGTTTAAGGCTGGTGAATACTGTATTGGCAGATTATTCCTTTGGCTGCCGCAAGAGCTTCTGAAACCAAAAAAAACCCAAAACCAACCAAAAAAAATTAGAAAGAAAAAGATCAGATCTCACAACTGAAACCAGAAGATGCATGAGAAAATTTTGCCAACTGGCAATACATGCCAAATAGAATTAGAAGACAATCCAGAACTTGACTGTTTTCCAGAAAATCTCCAAAAAGGTAAGAAGACTAAATGACAACCATTAAAACTGATTGTTACATAAATAACCTCTTCTTCTGTGGCCTCAATACTCTCTTATAAGATCTCTATTATGACTCCTCCTTTAAAAAAAACTGCTCAACAGTTACCTGACATATGACAACATCATTGTCTTGATTTATGAACAAAGACTCTGCCATGTCATACTAAATTTAATATTTTACTAAAAAAATCAAAGGTCTTACAACAGTAATAAATATAGTTTTAAAAAACATTAAATGTACAATTTCATTTACATGCAAGTCCATTAAAAGAACAACCTCCAGAAGGAAATGGTCTTGAAATAGGCCTATTTAAAACACAGAACGTCCACTACTTTATTGGAGGTGATGATGTGTTTTAGAACAGGTTCTTATTAACTGACTGCAACTGTGTTACCAGCTACTGGAAATACTGAAAGAATTCCATGAGTCTGTATTGCCTCCCCACCTATGTCTTCGCTGCAGAGGTGGCCTTTGAGCACTTTTGTGGGGAGGTGGTACTGAATTCATGACAGTAGGTATGGATATTTGATATTCATATCGTTCCAACATCTGAGCAATCTTCTCACGAGTGACCCCATGTTTATTCCTCCTACAAAAATAAAAATTTAAATAAATTGTCTGGTATGTTTAGTTATATATAGTTAGTCTGGAAAGACTTTGCTATCCATTTATTCATCACATTTTACAGGGTATACTAGCTAATGAGCAGAGGGAGGAATGATAGCATTGACTACTCCTTATGAAAGCAACATTCAAACTAGCATAAAAAAAATGCAACTACATGGTTTCAAGACTTCATGACAAAACATATCCTCATCAATAAATCTCTCTACAGAATAAGAAGCAACTTTTGTTCTGAACCAGAACAGCATGCTCAAAACACCTTTATCTAGTAGCTCTTACTTGCTGTACATTTAGAAATGTATTGAAACATAAATGTGTGTGAGACTCTGATCCAAACTCCAAAAATGTCTCGACATTGTTCCTTTGTGTAAACTGCGAGACGCTAAAAAGGGAGGCTCAGCTGTCACTGGCATTTGACTTTTTGCCACGTTGGCTGCTTGTGGTTTCACTGTACAACCACCACAGCAAGGGCACGTGCACCAGAGCCAAGGTCAAACAGGTAAGCGATGAAGGTGCTGGATGGAGGACAGTTGCCTCACTGAGACGCCCCTCACTCCCAAAGTCCACCCAGGACATGTGCGGTTACATAACTGCAAGGCAGGACTATGCTCTGGGATTAAGAAGCGCAGCAAAACTACCAGGACTGACTGGAAGAAAGAGGTGGAGAATTCTAGAGATAGGGCAGGGCAAAAATAATCAATAGCAAGTGGATCCATTTTTCGCTGGAAGCTTCTCCCACCGCGCAACAATCGGACCTGCAGGACACTGCAGGACTCCATGGTGGTAACTTCTGCCAACTCTCCGGATTTCTGCTGATCTTTCCCATTTTCTCTTCCTAAACTATCCCTATCCTGTCACTTGTTAAGACTCCTTATCTTGTGTTGTTAGTACACGCGGCACTTAAAGACCTCGTTTCTAGCTGGAACTGGACAAGGTGTCAAAAGCGTTAATCCTATTCTTGCAGTGTTTGGTGAACAGCTACTTGCAGCAAAATCTTGGCCTATTAAGAACCTGAGACATTAGGCATTATCTTAGAATGTATCTATCTCCTTAGTATCTATGGAATAGGATCTTAAAGCCCATGTTAGCAGAAAATTTCAGTCTCTGACAAAAAGAAAACCACAAGGCCCATGCACAAACTGAATGTCAGAGAATTGTCAGGACTGTAACAGAACTGAATCCAAAACAACAGACAAAGATAAACAAAATGTTTCAATAATGTAAACAAGCATTTATCATAACCCAATCTATTCTTATCACCAAGAAACCTTGTCCAAGCTGAGTTATCAAGCCAACAGGAGACACATTTCTGCATCTTTGTGCTTTATGCAAGGGACAGAAGAGGCAATGGGCCTTACCAACTTGCTCAGTTCTGTAGATGAGAAATCAATACTGGGAACCATGCCCAAACTAGAAAAACTTACAAGAGTTCATTCTACAGAGAGAAGACTCCATCTCTAGAAACAAGCTAGTGGTGGCTCAGGAGCCAAAGGTGAGAACTCTGAAAGATTTATAAACACAGCAAAGTCCAAGTCAGTAATGTAAGTATCATACACACATACTTCATGTGCTGTAGGGGCTACTTTACAAAGCTGGAACAATTAGAAGTGAAGACAGTTGGATGCATATGAATTGACAATCAGTGAGAGAACTCTCATCCATGCTGAAAATATGACATTTCAGACAATGAAATATGCCAAAGTTGGTTTGATACCTCAGAGTCCTAAAACAGATAAATCTAAGACAAAGAAGACAAGAACCAGGAATAATAAGCAGCTTCCCAAGCACTCTCGGAATCCAGAAGTCAAATAATCTATGTTCAACAGTACTCTAAGTCACATCCACTGAAGACTGAGGACAATTTCACAGAAACGTGGAACAGAAACATAAAAAATATGAATTTTCTTTTTAACCTTTACTGATAAGTAATAAACTGTTGTCCTTTAACACTGAGACACCTATAAAAGCAGACAAACCAAAGCACGATACTGATGTACTCCTTGCATAATGTGAAGCTTCTTTTTGTCTTCTACCTATTTCTTGCCATCAGCCTTCTGTAGCAACAAACTTATCAGAACAATTACTCATTACAATAGCAGTGATTCTTACAGGGGTCGATCATTTTCCTACACATGCCCAATAAAATTTTAAGACTGACTTTTTGGGCCAACAAGACAGGGCCTGTATTTATTTGCCTGCTTATTTATCCATAATACTTCCATTTAAAGGTAGATCTCAAAATGCCTATTTAAGTAAAATACATTTCATACTGCTAGTAAAGTACTTAATAATATCTTGAATAAGATATAGCTTACTGCATAAATATTTGTGTGCATATTTACCTGCCTGTCTATATATAAATATGCAAGTACCATGATTTCAGTAAGATAAACCTTACTTTTCTAATTCTTCAGGATCAAACTTCCACCAAGTATCTGGCTCATGGAATTCCACTCTGTATCCTTTTTCTAGAGCCTGTAGCAAGCAAACAAACATGTATGGTCTGTGCATCATTATTACATAAAACGCAAGAAAAAACTTACAGGCAACTATTATAAACAGATGTAGTCCATTCTGTGGTGGTAATGTGTGAATTTTACTTAACCCCAGCCTGGCATAGCTTTCACTCCATGCAAAGCAAATTAGATCAAGTCAATCCCAAAACTGATCTGAATCATTGCCATACCAAACTACAAATCATTATCAATAACCAGTCTCTCTCTTTAGGCACTTGAGTATGTTTCTGGACAAACCATACCAACTTATCACATCTGAAGTTTGAAAAGTTGTAATGGATGACAGTAATCATGCAACAAAACCTACCACTTCCACATATGGCTTCATTTCCCAGGCTTGAGTATTGGTGTTGTCTATTATAACTGGAGATTTTCCATGCTCCATAGCTTGTTTCGCTGCAATGAAAAATAGTGCAAGTTAACAAACAACTATGTAACTCAAACCGTAAAAGTAAATAAACTGTTTCAGATGCTTTTTTACTAATCTACTCTGAAACACACTGTTCTAAGAGAAGGAATAAAAGGTACAGAAAAGGATGAGAAGTAGAAGCAAGAACTTGAAGGACAGGATGCCAAGCAGAGAGACCTGGACAAGCTCAAGAAGTGAGCCCACAGGAATCTCATGGGGTTTAACAAGACCAAGCACTGCACCTGGGTCAGGGCAACCCCGGGTATCAATACAGGCTGGAGGATGAACAGATGGAGAGCAGCCCTGCAGAGAAGGACCTGGGAGTGCTGGTGGATGAGAGGCTGGGCATGAGCTGGCAACATGTGCCGGCAGCCAAAGCCAACTGCATTCTGCACTGCATCTAAAGCAATGTGGCCACCAGGTCAAGGGAGGTGATTCTGCCCCTCTACTCTGCTCTTTTTTTTGAGTACATCTAAAGAGCACAGCTATGACATTCAGTTTCTACATAATATAGTTCTGAAGTTCTATACCCTTATCAGCTTCATAATCACCTCCTTTTTATATAGAAACCATGGCAGCAGTTAAGCTATTCATACCTGAAGTTCAGAAGGAACTCCTGCAGATGACAGCACCTAGAGAGAGTACTTGAGTATTCCACTTTTGAGACAAATTGGTTACCTTAATTATAATTGTTTTAACATCCTTCACCTTTTTATTTTGAAAGCAAGACCTCTGCCATTCTTGAAGGAAAGGGACACAACTTTTATGTCTTTAGAGAAGAACTACTTTTTTCATGAATCAGTAAATGAGGTTCATCTAACCCAGATGGAGAAGCAGATTTCCAACTCATGGCTATCAGTTTCACAAAGAAGATACCTTAATTCCTCCTAAAACTACTTGAAAGCATCTTATAATTGACAGTAAGGCTTTAAAAAATAATCAAATAACTCCTCAGCTTCTTTGTGCCCCAAATAATCAGTAAGACATAATGATAATTCCATATCTCTTTTACAGAAGGATTGTGAAGATGAATCCCATTAAGAAAAAATAACTGATTGCTCTGATGCTACACACTGAACCCAAGACAAAAAGATTTTTTTTGTTTGTCCTAAGCAGTACCAGCAAAGTGAACCACAAACACATCCAGAAATTCACATTTCAAAAGCATTCAGTCCTTTCAAAAGACACAGAAAGGGTGCAAAAGAAAAAAGAAAGCTTTATGGTTGCAAAACAAAATTCTGAACCTTAGGAAAGAGATGAATGAAGACTGTGTGTGTAGTAATTATAGGGCATTTGTATTACCACATTGTCCTTAAATACACAGTTTTGGCCTATTTCCTCCCATAAACTCCTACCTCTTTCAGCATGTGACAGACTTTTTCTATTTTTGAACCAAGGGTGTCTATCAGATGAGCAGCATGACACAAGCTTTCCCCTTCTTGCTCTTTTTTCACAGTAATTGTGAGATAAATAATGAGTAAGTCAGGATGACTGCAAAGGAGGAAGGATCATCTTTTGGTCAATGCTCTTGAACATTACCCCACCACTTCCCACGTGGCCACTTGGGGGGGAAAAAAAAAATAATCTTAATTTTCTGGCTGTCCAGTTTCTAACAAGTATCATTTACCAAGTTATATGAACTCATCTGATTATGAAAGTAGTGAAAATTTACTCTGAATATATGAAGTTTTAATTACTACTACATACCCTGAGGAAAGTATCTAAATTGGTAAATTTGGCATCTGAAATTGGAAGATGTTTCTAGCAACTGTGCCTTAGCTTGCCAATGAAAAAACCAGAATATAATACCACAAGTGCTTACAGGAACGCTAAGATGAAGAACTAGATGAAAAAAATGAAATGTCTGAAGTTTGAAATGCTAAAATGACACTCATACTAAAAAGTTTCTAGAAGAATAATAAATCTCCATTAAACAGAGCTAAAATAGTATGCATTAAATGAAAAGTGAGATCCACAATGAGTGCAAGGTGTTAAAAAAAAAATAAATCCATCTGTGGAATACCTGCCACTTCAGGGAACATTGCTGAATCTGTACCCTGAATGAAGCAGGGCTCTGAAGGATGAAAAGCCCTAAGTTCATGGAGAGAACGAGGGATTTATCTTGATGGAAATCAATCCACACAATAGGAAGAAATTAAATGAACAGGCTGGGAAGTTACTTTCTAGATGAAAGGGAGGAAAAAAAAGCAACGATAAAATATGTTCCAACAGAGTACTAAGAATCCACAGAAGAAGCTATTAAAATCTTGAAAAATATATTGCCCTGGCTTCATTACCCTGGCATAAATGATCTTTCTTACATCCAAAACTAGAAAAGAAAACTTGTAGGCTAACAAACAAGGGAAAAATCCTTAAATATACATTTCAGAAAAGACTCATAGGTAGCAAGAGAATAGCTGATTTTGCCATGCAGAAAATGGGACCATTGTTAATTTACAGAAGTTTGTGAGAAAGATTATATCAACACTGCAACCTACTTATATATATTCTACCATTTTGTTTTAACTATTAGCTGTGTGCTAATATACTAACTTTAAAGTTTTGTTTAAATGCAAAAAATCTACTAATTAATTAATTTTATAGTCACTGTCAAAACCAAACCAAACCAATTTAGAAAGTAGATAAACCTCAACTTGATCTCTTTTCAGTTTTCAAAGTGAAAGAGAGTAGGTTTAGATTAGATATTAGGAAAAAATTCTCTACTGTGAGGGTGGTGATGCACTGGCACAGGTTGTTTCTGCTTGAGACACTGCAGCACAGAGAGTAATCTGTATGGACAGGCAATGGAGTTGTTCAGTTTGTCTACACCTTAGAGAAGACCAGACAATGAGATTCTTAGAAAACTGCTAAAGAAGGAACAAGAATCCATCTACTATCCTTCTTACCCCAGCTATCTACTTATTTGCCAATAAAACTCAACCTTTGGACATGGCTAGGTGTTAAGATAGTTATTAAAGCTGTTCATCCACACAAGTGGAATAAACCTTCCTCAGGAAAATGTCCATAAATTTTGGATGAAACCCAGATCAGGAAAGATAATGGGAATAACCAGAATGCCCTGCAGTGTTGGTTTTGGCTTGGATAGAGTTAGTTTTCTTCACAGGAGCTGGTAAGACACCTCCTGTTGCCAGCATTAAAAAGTTGAATTCTGCCATCAAGATACTATTATCAAGTGTAACATATCAGCAGAGCACAGCCCAAAGAAACTTTGAGATTTACTATTTTTAACTCTGAACCTTGTACAAGTTCAAAATGTAATGTATATATATATATATATATATATACATACACACATGGATTAAAATATAAATAATACTTTAAATACATACTTGATATACGTTATGCTAAAATATATACAATCCTTTTCATATATCCACACAACACACATGCACATTATTCTACACTTCTATTTTTCTCAACATAACATAGTTTCATAGGATTCCTCTTAAGCATTCAAACCTCTCTTCTGGTTCCACTCATGGGCATCACCAAGCTGAGCAGCATTGTATGTGTATCCATCTTGCTGCCGAAAATAATCATCGGTGCTGAATACAATGCCATCACTGCTTTGACCAAGCAGAATACTGTTAAACAAAGGAAAACACACAAATATAAATTTTACTTTTCAGACAGATTAAAAAAATCCACATAAGAAAGAATATAGCTAAAATAAATTGAACTGTGCCCTATTTCTGAACTTCCTGCAAATGTCAAACAGCTTTATAAAAGTACAGTAATATGTTTCACCAATAATTCTAACCCAAATTAAAACAATATATTTTCTGCCTCTCTACTATTTCTGCATTTGTTGTTTCTTCTCCACTCCCAAGAGATGTTTGTATCCATCTAATTTATGGCTAAATTGCAGCAAGTTCTAAGCACCTCATAATAATTTAATATATTTAATAACATTTTCCATTTCAATTCTCATTTGGAAATATGTTTAGGAACCAATCTGATCATGAGGACTCCAGATGCAGCTGAGAAATGAACTGGATGTTTCAATCCTTTTTCAGGGCCGTGAACTCTCAATATGACTCTTCTGACCTTTGCCCATGCTGCTTGCACATGTGCTATGAGCCAAACACGAATAGTGAAAGAAAACTACTAATGTTTACAGCAATTTCCCTGTTTTCATAAAAATGTATGAGATCACAACAAGCTTTCAAGATCATCCTACTAATAAAAGTCAGGATTACAGAAGAGTGTCTGTATTCCTTCAAGAGCCTATATTGATCTATTCCAGTTCTAAGTCTTCTCCTCCAACCCTGGAGACACAGTCTCATTTGCCCCTATTTTCTCATGAACTCTAGATCTATAATCCATTGGAACTGACCACTCAGAAAATTCCCCAAAAGATGATACACTAGAAATGGCTAATGACCACTGGAGACATCCCCTGGTTGAGCAGCAGTAAGCTGCTACATGGTTTGCCACATCCTGTAGAACTGTAGTTTCAGTTTAATAGATGACAAGAAATGTAAGATAGGAAAAAATCCTATCTCAGTTGCTACCAAGGAATTCTATTGTCTTCCCCTATCATTCATACCTTAGAGCTAATGGGGTGATAGGAAAGCCATGCATTTTACCGTCCCTGCACGTATTCCTTCAAATTAGGAGAAAAACAACGACTTGATTAGAGTGTTTTAGTTTGATTTCCTAAGACAATGCCATTTATGGTGACTTCTGAGCGTATAGATCAATTTCACCAAAAATCTTACATATTAGTCTCTCAAATATACTGTCTTTTTTTTTGGGGGGGGGGCAAAACAGACAAACCAAAACAAAGTTGCCAACACATGGATAAAATGCAGAGCTTCAAATTAGAAATCATACAGAGAAAAATGAGACAAAGACTGCCAGGCAAATTTCACATTTACCCAGGCTTTTACACTGGCCACTTCCAAACAACGTAAGATATTTTACTGGCTAGAAGTTTACTTCATCTGTGGGTCAGAATAAGTTGCATTACAATCTGCTTCTTGCATAGCTAACATTAAAGATTACAGGAGAAATGCAAGTATACTTTACCAAACAATAAAAGACACTGTGGGGAAGGCAATGAGGTATAAAAAGGGAACTCAGGGGGACACAGTTGCAACATTCCCTGTTAACATGTTTATTTTTACTCTATATTATCATATTTTACATTACTGATAATATATTTATTAACTACAGAAGTTACTGCAATGCCTGATGTGGGAATACCTGAAAAATCCATTAAGCTTTTCTAGAATTCTGTATTTGCAGTATCATGAAATGCCACAGTCAAACCTTACAGAAACATCATAGGGTTGGCTTTTGGATTAACTAAAATTCATCCCAAATGTTGCCCAGACATAGCAACAAATACCTGTGAGTCAGGAAAAACTGAGTATTGCAAAGTTATACGAGGTAATTAGCTGCTGCTTGAACACCAGAATCTGTTAAATTGTATCTACATTAATCCACACTAATGAGCAATCTCCATTCTGCCAAAAGTAAACTTCATTTCAGAAAGTCCTTGGATATTGGGATTTAAAGCAAAACTTTATACAACTGAGATGATGGTACAGTTCCCTTTAAAGTCTGATCTACAGAATAAATCTGTGATTAAAACAACCTCCTTGACTATTTTTGTTTGCTATAGCACATTTCAATTTGAAAATGGAACCCAGCCAGTTAGTGTCACACAACTTTTATAGCCCACTGCAACACTCAGATATCACTGTCCTATGGAAATTCAGACAGCTATTCCAGCTCAGAAATAGGCAATGTACCCACAGGCTACAAAAACCAAACTGCACTAGCAGTATGAGGATTGCACTACTGCTGACGTGGCAGGAACAGAACTGGCCAAATCCCAAATAATTTAGGGGAACAAATACATGTCAGTTCTAAGTTACCAAGCTTTCCTATATATATCTGCAGGAAGAGCTACTTAAGTGTAATTCCTACACAAGGAATTTGCTATGTTTTCCACCTGTCACAAACAACAGACCTGCTATGGATCACAGTTTCATGACCAGGACACTGTACTACGTATTAG